AAGACATAAGAATATCAGTAAAAGCATATAAACTAAGCAATCAGACTGAATCTTTCTACATTATTTGATCTGTTCAACTTTACAAGACAGAAATGATGAAATGAGCACAAATTATGAGCTTTCACAAAGAAGTCATGTACCTCATTACTAGAATATAATAACCCATAACTCCCAGCGCAATGATCTAGATTAGGTTTTCCGGTTACAAGATTAAGTTTTTATTATTGTTCAGAGTACCCATAAACCTTAGCTTACCATCATCTTCCAACAAACTAATTTTCAACGCCAGATGCCCACTTTTCACATCCCTCAAATTAATTCAGAAAAGATCACATATCTTCATAACTTACATAGTCTGCAAAACTAGACTTACCAACTAACAATCTACAAAATAAGTTACTTTATTATCAGTTGATTAATAATAAATTACTTCGTTCTTTCTTTTGGTCAATAACAAACTTTGAATGAATGATGAAAGAAGAAGAAGAAAATAAGAGCAATTGAATATACATATTGAAACTCACAACCTCTGTGAGAAGGATGGATTTACACACCCTCCCTGTTTCACGTTATCAACCTTGTGTGCAGGTATCACAATTTTATGCAACACCCCTCCAATATCATAAATAAAAAAGGTCACCTTTCATCTAAAAATATATCTGAACTTTAGCATACTCTCGTGCACAAATATATAAACACAACACACACAACGATTACATATCCAAGCTTCTTTGCATTTTTAACAAGATCACAAGTGTTACATTACTTGACATGAGTATAAAGCAGACACTGCAGTAGAGCTCACTATTTCATCCGATCTTCTACAATATCCTTCGGCAAAAAAAAGTTGAAAGTCTATGATACAATATTTTGTACAAATGCAATTCTACAAACAATTAACACGGTTTACCAAATTGAAATGTTAAAAGGTTTACCAAATTGTAACCGAATCATCCAAAATTGTTCCAAGTAAGCTATTCATGCCCAAAATCAGTAACCAAACTATACTCACTACCAAAGCACACGACAACCTTCGCAATTATCAAAGCACAAAAATGTTTGACTGATCCAATCCTAGTATTGAACATATTGTGCGACCTCAAACAATTTACCCCGAATATCAAAGCACAGCGGAAAGGTTGCTTCTTTGTGACCGAATGGTCATGGTTTCGAGTCGTGGAAACAACATCTTTGCAAAGCAAGGTTAAGGCTGAGGTTCCCCCGACCCTCGCAATGCCGGGAGCCTTGTTGGCTTGGGGTCGCCCTTGTTATCAAAGCACAAACATTGGCTCACTAATTTATCAAATGACAATCCGAAATGGAACAATTCGATGACTTGTATACTCAGATGAATGTTTTGCCATACAACACACCGATTTTCACGGATTATTCCACAAAAACAAACATCGGTCAGAAACAAAAACATCCAAAATTTCCCCAAAAGATGAGTTCACACAACCTAAACAAATCAAAGAACTGAACTTTCCAATCAACCCCAACTAATTGAAACCCACAGAACAAATCCCATCACTAAATTTCGAAATTAAACGACAAAATTAAGGTTGTTTTGCAGAGAAACATACCACAAATCTTGATGGGTGCTTCAAGCTCTAACAAATTAGGCTGCTGCAAGAAGATTTCTTTAGACACCAGACAAAGCTGCCGGATCTCAGACTCCGACAGCTGGACCTGCTTCCCGGGTCGGCCTCGGACTTCGAGAAGTCGGTTGATTATGTCGTCCAGAACCGATTGGTCCATTTCACAGGAGCTGGTCAACGACTACAAAGTCAACGGTTCGTTTGAAAACTGGAAGACTGAAACTTGAAGAAAGGGAAGATGATGAAGAAGAAGAGACGGAGTGAAAGAAAAGCATGAGACTCTTGGGTGGGGGATTTGGTGGGTTGCGTTCTTCTGGCTGTCGTTTTCTGTGGAAAAGAATACCGTTTCTGTGTTGGAGGGAGTGGTGTACTCTGAGCAGAGGAAGGAGCGAGAGCGACTGGGAGGAAATGGGTGATCCTTAATTTATTTCCTAATCAAAATTTTAAATTTTAAAGTTTAAACTTTTGCACAAAATAATTATGTATATGTGTGTGTATTCTATATAATATATATATATATGTGTGTGTTTCTTTTGTCAACTGATTGAAGAGTGAACAATTTAAGATTATTTTTCTTGTTTTTGGGTTTCCTTTTGTTTTATTCAACAGGATGAATGTGTTGTTTTGGTAGAAAACATGATTTTTCGGAACTTAGGTATATTCGCTTTTAAGTACTTACGTTTGTTGCATCGGAGTGTCTTGAACTGGATTAACTTCATGGACTAAGCTGGACTGGCTTAGACTAGACTAAGCTGAACTAATTTAGTGAAGCGTTTGGTGCAATGTCGGACTAAGTCACAGACTATATTTTTTTTGCCATTTTTAATTCACTTTTGGCTTAAAAATTAAACAAAAATTAATAATTAAAGGGTAATGAAGTCTGGAAATGAATGGACCCAAGCAAATTTTCTTTTCCCTTCCTTCCTTTACCCTTCCTCGTTTATCTTCTCCATCATTTTCTCTCTATCAAATTATGCATCAATCTCTTACTTTTCTTGTTTAATTAAGAGAATTTGTTGGTTAACCATTCGCCAAGCCTTCAGAGATTCCAAAAAGAAAGGCAAGCCATATAGTAACCAATTAAACCTGCAAATCCCAGAAAAAAAAAAACCCAGAAACCAGGAAAAAAAACCCAAAAACCCAAAAACCCAAAACAAAAATTGATTTACTGAGATTGCGAAGCAGTCATGGCGGAGATGACCCAGTTGATGAGGAGGCAAGCCGAAGGCAAAGCCAAAATCAGTAGCTTCAAAGCCACAAAGCAGTGAAGGAGAAGAAGATGAAGAAGTCGACGAGTTCGTCGTTGGAGATGAAGCTGCGCTTGAAGCTTGTGTCGTTGAAATCGAGGTCGGGAAGGTGATTCGAGCAGGCCGAAGAAGTTCTTAGCTAATCCGATGGTTTTCGGGGGAACACGTTAAGAACGGCTAGTGAGGTTGTTAGTGAAAGCGAGTCCTAGTTAATCCTATTAAAACTAGTCTAGCCAGGAAACAAACACGGGACTCGACTAATCTTTAGTCTAGTTCAGTCCAATGAACTTTAGTGAGGAGAAACAAATACCCCTTTAAGGGTTTGTCTCCAGTAGTCTAGACTCTAGTCCGTCGAGTAGTTTAACTTTTTAAACAATTTTTACGGTTTAATTTATGAGAGTCTGTTTCACCAATTATTTTCCAAACTATTAAAGAAAAATTGTGTAACTTCTTAAGAAATTTCTTACCTTCCCAATTCTGAAAGAATCAAGATAACCATTCATTCCAGTGTATATAGTTCTGTTCTTTTAAATGAGGAGGTGATTAAGTAGAAAATCTAAATAATAATTATGTGACTTTAAAAGTGTATCTTTGATACCATATTGAATGGAAAATTTCCAAAGTAATTTACTGGGTGTTAAAAAGACAACTGAACACATAACCTCGACCTTGAGTACAAAGACCGATATTTTTACCATTTTGAATTACATATTTGTTACTTTTCTTTGTCTCTAATACAAAAGTGACTTTTCAATAAAGCAATCATCCTTGTTTGATGGTAAAACCCTTTTGGTGAATGTAATCTTTTTATGATCTTTACAGCACTTATCGTTATTGTTATTGCGATACAATTTCAGCTTACAATGTACATCTGATCTAGAGTTCTACACTTCCTCATTCAATGGTAAACTTCATGATTACAAGGCAGATATGCTTTACAATCATAGTATCACGTCCGGAGATGGAAGCACAGCCGCTGGTTACTATGTCAAGGACAATATCCAACTTGATAAAGTCACTGGAAATCATCAAACAAACACAACAAATAGAACTAGAGTATTCAGGTGAGTTTTACGCAATTGTCATGCTAAATCTCAACCATTGATAGTGGGATAATCCAATGGTTAGGACTGGTTTGGTATTGCTGTGCTTTGAAAAAAAACTGTTTCTGCTGTGCTGTGAGAATAAGCTCATTTTTGCTGCTTCACGTTTTCAGTTTTTTTTTCACCTAAAATTGTGAAAATAAGTTGTTTTTAAGTGTTTACCAAACACATTTTTTAGGTCAGCTTTTTTTTTTTTATACTCACTTTTTTTTATAAAAGCACCTAAGTACCAAACCAGTATTAAGACTTTGTGTCAAATCTTGTATAAAAAATATGGTGCCACGGATCCACTCCATATATAATCCGTACAGTGGAAATATTTAGAACTCACCAAATATGAATTGTAACACAATAACCAACAATCTGCAGCATGAGATCGAGAGAAGCATTGTAGCATGCATCTAAAATACTAAAGAGAAAATTAAGCAGAACATTCACCTCTACAGGAAATCCTCAGCTTCCGCAGGGTCATATGCGGTTATTATTTTACAATGGATAATTCCGGTGACTTGTGCGATACGGGAGGGTGGTAATACAATACGTCTAGATGGAGTCATGGTTCGACTTAGCTCCCACATCTTGTATCGGGCAGTCAAAAATATCGTGGCCATAGTTAAAACAATCACCAAAGAAAAGGGTGCGAGCATACGCCATATTGTGCCCACACATCTTATCATCGCGAAGACGGCGCACACAAGCTATTTCAGAGCCCTCGCCAACACTAGTCACGCCAGCCGGAACCCTATTCCAGTAGGGGCATAGAATGTCGTTGCAGGCCTTCCGAAGGCAAACTGCACACTCGCAAGTACGACAACGTTTCTTCTTCTCCATTAAAGTAGGCGGAGCATTCTCAAGTCGTGGTTGACTCATAGAGTCTGCAACACAAGACACGGTGGTGACACGGCAACAGCCTACTTTAAAGAAGACACGATGTCGTCGGGATCGATGTCTTCACTCTCTTGTTTGAGGCAAGGTTGCGACCGTGGCTTCGCGGACCTGTTTGAGGAAGAAGAAGAAGCTGCGATGGCTTCGTTGATGTGCTGGAGGTAAGTTTTGCAGGCAACTTATGGGATCCGGATAGGATCCTTTCCCGTTTTGATGTTCAACAACCGTTTTTTTACCTTCACAATCTACAGTAAAATGACGAAACCACCCATGAACAAAACTCCCTAGACGCCTAATTCCCTTACTTTTACCCTACCGCGCAATTTGATTCCATGTTTTCAGTTTGGCAAAATTGGTCTTTGTGTTTTTCTTCGTTTGCTAATTTTAAATAATTTATTAAAAAATCGTTAAAATTAATATGCGCTTTGCACGTGAGAGAGTCATCGTCAACCATTGAATCTTGCGTGGGTTAATGGATTTACAGTGTTAAATTTCTATCCTCACACGTGTAATTGACACCTGTCACCAAATTGACCGATCGAAACACATTCATTATTTACCAGAGCTTCTTCCATCCCTTTCTATTTTGTACGGTCACAGTTAAACTACGTTAATATTTTATATTAATTTTTTTATAAAAATAATAACATAAAAAATAATAAGAACATAAAATGTTGACGTGATTTAATCATGACCACACGAATAAGAGGAAATGGGAAGGGCAGACAATCTGCCTCCTTATTTACCACCGTCGCTAGAAAGTCGTCAATACAGAACCTTTTTCCAGTTAACTGAAAAAGCGGCGCGAGAATCAGATCAAACGGCCGAAATCCCATCTGAAGAATCTCAGAGATGAGAAGAGGAGGAGGAGGAGGAGGAGGACATGCTTCTTCTGGGAATTACAGAAACCCATGTTTGACTATGCACCAACCATGGGCTTCTTTACTGGTTTATGGCATCAAGCGCGTCGAGGGCAGGTCCTGGCCTTCCCCTATCAGAGGTTTCAACCTTAAATTCTTCGAATTCAGTTCAAAATTCTGATACCATGTTGGTTTAATCTTATGTTTTTTGTTGTTGAAGTGTAAAGTTTTGAGCTTCTGAGAATGTGGTCCGGTATTAACTAGCTACCACGCAAAGTGGGAATGTTAAAATTTACCTTAAAATCTTCGAATTCAATTCAAATTTCTGATACCCTTTTGAGTTAATCTTATGTTTTTCTGCTGTGGGAGCATAAAGTTTTGAACTTATGAGAATGTGGTCTGTTATTTACTAGCTAGTTCTTAAAGTGAGAGAGTGAGAAATTTACCTTAAAATCTCCGAATTCAGTTCAAATTTCTGATACCCTTTTGGTTTAATCTTATCTTTTTGATGTTGGAGTATAAAGTTTTGAACTTTTGAGAATGTGGTCTGTTATTTGCTAGCTAGTTCGTTAAGTGGGAGTGTTAGAATTTTTGTTAGCTGGGAACTGAACAAGTAGAAACTTTAAGTAAGCTGCAAAGTTTGGATCTTATTTTTTTAGAGAAGCAAGTTTTTGACTTATAAGAGTTTGATTTCTGAGCAAAAGATTGATTCATCGGTTAAATTTGAATGCGGAATATCAAGTGTTAGTTCAGTTATTCCTTTTTTTCTTCAGTTTTGATATTTTTTTTTGTTGTGATAGTTGTTATTGGATTCTTCTTGTTATGGTTATTTTAATTTTGACTGAGATGCGCATTTTTCTAAATCCTTGAATTTGTCTTTTGAAGGCCGTCTTTGGATTCATGCCGCTGGTAAGGTTCCTGATGAGGCTACAATTAAAGCAATGGAAGAATTTTACAGGGAAATTTATGCAGTTGATGGAATCACGGATCTTAAATTTCCAGAACATTATCCGGTTTCAAGACTTTTAGGTATTCCAAGTTTGGTACTTTGTTTGATGCATGTTTCTTGTTTTTGTGCATGTGTTGCATAAATACATCTTGAGTTTCTTCCCAATGAATTTATCTCCAGTGTTTGGTCAGGGAGGATAAATAACATTCTGAGGGTGAGGCGGTTGCGTGCTCTTGATCAATCTTAATTCAACTTAAAAGAACGAAACTATTTCATTTTTGTCTTCCTTGCTTAGGTGGTTTTCTCTAGACATCACACAGACAAATTTTGACAAATTATGGTTTCATCTTTGAGATAGGGTGTGTCGAAGTGGTTGGATGTCTTAGACGAGAAGAACTTGCATCCTGGGAGATGGTACCTGAAGGGGTGGGCTACCTTTTTACCAATGACTGTTTGATTCATGATATTGTGATGGTTTCATGGGTTCTGAGACTGTTGATTAAGCTCTGACTGATTTGGTTCACATGCAGGTGAGGCTGGAAGCATTAACTGATATGTGTTGGCTTTGTGAGCAACCACAGGTGTGTATTATTTTTGCATTGCTCCATTTCTGGCAAATTCTATGATTTGGAAGAAGTACAAATCAGATATTGTTAAGCTTTTATTCCTTCAATTATTGCAGAAACTGTTAGTTCCATTTGAGATGCGTGGCTACCAAGGAGTCTATAACTTGGAAAAGAAGGTGCGTATTGTGCACAAAAATTTACTCTCTCTCTCTCTCTGCTACTGTTTTTAATGGACCTAACTTACTTACTTACCCGTCTCAGATATATGAAGGTGCAATTAGAGGTCTTTCCCCAGTTAATAGTCCCCTTCCAGTAAAGTTTCCACTTCCAAATCCACAAGATCCATTTTCATTGAAACCAGGATCTATCTCTGTGCATGTCCCTGTATCTAGAACATCTGAAGTTGAGATATCATCGAGTCTCACTGCAGCCATAGCTGGTGCCCGTGCTGCAGCTACACAGTTCTCCAAGAAAGTTCAAGATGCACAGACATCTGTAACGACCCTTCCATTAAAGGGTCAATCTGTTGAAGAGGATACAATGCCATCTGCTAACCTCAGTGAGACCTCTAATAAAGGGGCATTGACATCTAATAACAAGGAGCAAATAAGTCCCATTAAGCACAAGGGAGTCGGCAGCCACAGCCAACCTTATTCTGGAGGTTTGAGACCTCAACCTGGTGCACCTTCTAAGGTATGAAGTTTCTTCACTCGGACTTGTATGAAACAAGTGCATGCACACATGGCTTCCATTATAATAATTGTGTGAAGTCAATCTAGTTTACTAGTCTGATCAATCACTTAATATTTTAGAAGGTCAAGTTTCATTCTGATTTTATTTGTACGCATGGCCTTGACGAGTAATTTCAATAAAAAAAGCTAAAATATAACAATTTTACACGTAATTTTGTTTTCTATTTTTCCGTTGTACTACATCACTAGTGTTTGTCTCTACTTGTATCTTAGTCTTTCTTACCCTGCCTTATGAACATATTTTTTAATTATACATAATTCAATTGCTTGTAGTACAAAAATGTGTTCAGTTTTTGGCACAAAAACAAAATCGGATTTATCTGTAAATCTGGTTTTGTGTTTTGTGTAGTTGGATGTAATATTTGATTTGAGGTTGGGTCATTTTAATCAAAGGCATTACTACAAGGCTGCATAGAATTTTGTGGTTGTGGACTGGACATGTAATGGAACTATAATAGATTGTTCTTACTTGGTTTAAAAAACAATGCAACGGTAGGGCAGCGTTCAGCCTAGAGGGGAGCACACAAAGCGGAAGCGAGGCTTTGGGCTTGAGTAATGCAAACATTGGTGAGAATCGATGCCCCAAAACTTCTTGGTTGAAAGAAAAAAAAAAAAAAGTCCTTATAGAGGAAAAGGAGACTGTTGTAAATGATATTTGTCATATGTGGATTTATTAGCATATCCTAGTTCTTTTTGACAAGCATAGCATACCCTAGCTCTAGTATCCGATTTCTAGTAACCTAATGATAATGGTCAGGATGCGTTAAACATGATAATATATGGCGTGTGTGATGCCATCTTTTTCGCTTAATAATAACGACTGTGAATAGCCTGACCTGAAGACTTTGTCAATGACTTTTACGTTTTTGCTGCAGCGGTGGGTGAGAGTGATGAAGCTATGATGATTCTTCAATTATTCTTTGAAGGTGGAACTTGTTGCAAATATCACTCGTTGCTCGCAAGATGTTATGGCAAAGTGGATCTTCAACTTGGAATATGCTTTTCTACATCCTTGTATTGTATTGTATCTGTAATCTGTAACTAGGAATGGTTTGTGTTTAGTTTAGGGTGATGAGATAAGTACAGTTGTTTGGTATCCTTCTTAGATCCAAATTTTTAGCTTTTGAAACTAATTAAGTACTAAGTAATTTAGTTGCATTCATCGTTTTTAAAAAGTGTAGTTTAGTGCGTTGGATTGTGATATAGTGCTGAAATTCGCGGAAAATTTAATAGAAAGATTGCATTTGGGTATTGGCATTGTGCAACCTATACAGAATTTATTCCTTTTCCAATTTTTACATTTGTGTGAAACTCTATTTTTCCATTAGGTTGTGTGGAAATTATTTTTTGTCTGATCGATCAGTTAATAAGGAGTGCTTCCATAACAGGGAAGACGTCCTGTACCATGTAAGTTGCTCGAGTTAGATAGAGCTTTCCAGCCATAGGTTTGACAAATTGTCCTTTGGTTATAAGAAGTGTGTGTTGGCTTCTTGTATTTGCAACAGAGCTTAGTATAATTGGGTGTTTCGTATTTTGTGTTGTTGATGAGGTTATTAGTGTTGATGAATGTGGCCACTCATTCTGGAGCAGCTTCCTCTCTGCCCTATCTCATTCGTAGTCGATCTCCGCCGCCTCCTCCTCTATTCAGTCACGGTAGCCGCCAGTTCATTTCGCCAGACCGCCTCCTCCTCCTCCTACTCGTTGGCAGATACAGACACCAATGTTTTCACCCCACCATCTTTATCAGATTCATTATCTCCACAACCATCACCTCCACCGTCACCACCATTTTCATCACCACCACCGCCATCCTCACTGCCATCGCCACCACCATCGCGGGCATCACCACCACCATTGTCGTCATATAAGGAGAGATTCATAACAAAAGGATCGATGCGGTTAAGGTGAGCCTTAATAAGTTATGTTTTTAAATACAATGTTTGCAGTACGACTGGAGATTCAGATCATCCTTGCTGAAGAAGGTAGCAGCTTCAGTTCAGCACCTTAATTCAAATGCTGGGTCCTATCTCCTCTGGTGTCCTTCATCATCTTTGATATTAAAGTTATGCACCTAATTACGTACTGGTGTTAGCTAGCACTTACTCCATTTTCCCTATCAATATTTGGCCATACGTTTGGTAAAGAAACTTATAATTTGCTTTTGGTTTATAAGAGCGCTTTTTCAAGAAGCACTTTTGAAGTTTCAGCCATGTTTTTTTACTTCCTTCTTACTTCTCAGTTTGCGATTGATAGAATATACAGAAACAGGATTGTCTGTGCATGCGTGATGTGCGTTATAAGGTGGTCCGCTAAAATTTTCGTCAACTCCGTTAGAACTTCCGTCATATGTGTCATGCACGTGAGACTAAATCAAGGAACAAATATGGAAAATCAAATAGGAAAAATTGTATCAATGGTCTCTCAACTTTAATTTAGCTGGATAAATGGTCCCTTAACTTTAATCCAATTAGAGCAATGATCTCTCAACTTTAACTGGTCCTTCCAACATAACTCATTTTTACAAAATTTTGACGGAGTTGACGAAAATGACTATAGCTACACGTTTTGATGAGTTGAGGGAACAATGGTAATGAATTTTTAGTTGAATAACCATTGCTATAATTTACTTAATTAAGTAATATTGCTTATAGCTTACTGTTAAATAAAGAGTTTGCAAACCTTAAGAGAATGGAGTCTGAATTTATTGAAAATTTAGCCAAACGGAAATTCTGGCTTTTTAGATATATAGACATACATAGATATATAGATATAGAGGATGCAAGTACGGTGCTTGAAGTTGAAAATGTAGTTGGTGGTTTCTCTGCAGCTGGTCACAATAGACAACAGGTGAAATTAGGCCGGAGAACTGGAGCTAGAACGCCGCCTTCCCTGACACACGACCGACCGGGCCATATTGTTTCCCCTGCTGCACCTCAGAAAACCAGTGTTAAGCTTTTGCCGCATCCTCCACCACCACGACGCATGCCCTCAACTTCTTCTACACCATGCTAGCCAGTTATCTATGTTTCTGATTTGTTAGGTTAATTTTGTGTTTGATATTTCTAAAAGAACGCTGATTGACTCTTTACGTATACTGAGCAGAGATTTTTCGGTGTAACCAGTACACGGAGTAGTAGATCACGTTTCACTAAGCAAATGGTGGGATATGTGTGTTAAAAAGTTAATAACTTAAAAAATAAAAAATTTCATCACTCCTAGTAAAATACGTGGTGTACCACTTGTGTTCCCGTCACAACTAAAAATTTCTCTAATGATGTTCCTTCTCTTATTTTTGTATATTTTATTTATTATACTGCAAGGCCCAACCAAAAAGGCCAATCACGTAACCGAGTGCCCAACCCCAAGATAGTAAAATTAGCGTAATGTCTTGCTTGTAACTAGAGATTTTTCAATATGACAGGCATTTAGTACATTATATGTCACTATAAAAATAATATGATATATGTGTTAAAAAATTATTAACTTAAAAAAATAAAATTTCTCACTACTTATATAAAAACATGTAGTGTACTACCCGTGTTCCCGTCACAATAAAAAAATTCTCGCTTGTAAAATGAGTTGTAGTGTCCCTAACTAGGAATACAAAATCATACGTAAGACTTTCTTCACGATAACCTTGTATTATCGGTAAATCTATTCCATACAAGACAATCTCTTGTAACACATGATAACACGAATCTATAGAGATTCTAGCACATGATAACATAAGCCCAAGAAACCAGGTCAAAAGAAGGAGAAACATAATAAGAAAGCAGAACTGCATGAGGAGCGAGCACCAATTACAATTTACAAATCCGAAGAGATTTAAATAAGAAAAATCAGGAAAATAAAAAGCAGGGTTGCTACATCTCTCTGAAGTGCCATGGCTGGTGTTGCTTGATTTCATTAGTTTCTTTTCCCACTTGTTGCTTGCCGACAATATAACAAGGTTTTGACCTCAAATACAAATTACAAATGAAAGAAAATTCTCTTCAGATTTTCTTTGTGAGAATATTAAAAATTCTTACATTGTATTTGTTCATCGTATATCGTACCATCATAAATTATTTTAAATATTTTTATTTAAAATTAAACACAATAAGTATCTGATAAAAATTAACTACATAATGTATAATAAACAAATACAATATGAGGATCCGAAGAGGTTCCTCATTCCTACTGCCATTGCCTTGCCTCGACCCTCGAGTGAAAAAGCTGCTGCAGGTCATTGTTTTCTTCATCATAGATCAAACACCTCGAAGTGGTCAAAGGGGCGCCAGGTTAATTGAGTATCTAACATGAATCGGATTCACGTCGGATTCTTTTTATGAAGATTATAAGAATTAATGAATTGTATCTGTTCATCGTATATCATGCAGTCATAAATTATTTTAAATATTTTTATTTAAAATTAAACACAAGTACTTGAAAAAAATTAATCGTACGATGTACAATAAACGGACATAATTCACAAATTCCTATAATTCTCACTAAAAGAATCCGAAGGAGATCCTATTGGATCCGACATCACATGGTTAATATGGCTTTAGCCATAGAAAAAGGATTTCCACGTACGTTTTTCTATCATGCATACCATTTTTAAGTTTCTGACTTTTAAGTCAAATAAACAAAAAGATCAACTAATAGTCATCCTAAACATAAAAGTCTCGTTTAAAAGTGTTTTTAAATGACTGAAAACGTTTTAGTAAAAATATTTTGGAACCAATCATTAATAAAAATACAACTGAATCATGAAAAAACACTTGATGTGGTTCTTGCAATAAACACATAATTGATGTTTCTTACAGAAAGCATTTCAAACACTTTTGGAGCCAAAAGACATTCTCCAATAGCGTTTTTAGTAATTTTAAAAGTTTTTTCAAACAAACCCTAATAAAATCCAGTCGATTTCTACCTCGTGTGTTAATACTTAGGAGAATGAAGAATGTTGATGTACAAAATCAGCGAGGACTTTGGTACAACAGAAAGTGTTAAGTTTGTGACATTCGCTAGATTGCTCCGGTCACTAGTGTGGATAAGTATGTAAATGGATAGAGACAGGGAAGCAAACACAAGATGTACATGGTTCACCCAGATTAGCTACGTCCACGGAGTAGAGGAGTTCTCATTAATTGTGAAGGGTTTACACAAGTACATAGGTTCAAGCTCTCATTTTGTGAGTACTAGTGAATGATTTAGTACAAATGACATTAGGAAATATTGTGAGAGAATGATCTCTATTTATAGAAGAGAGTTTCTAGTTTCATTTTGACATTGACGCGTGTCGTGTTGTGATTGGCTTCTGATGTCGACACGTGTCGCGCTGTGATTGGCCTTCTGGTTGAAGGGAAACTCTTCTGTGTTCTTGACGGTATAACATTGACTGGTGCTCAGTAGTTTCGAGATTGGTCAAGTATGGTACAAACAGTGCTCCCCTAAGTTCCCGAGTGAGGGAAGCTCCTCGGTTGGGGACTTGCAAGATCCAAGCTATTGAGTAATCACGAAACTTCTAAGTACCGAAGTGTGGTATCATTTTCACTTATCTTATCTGTCTCATATGTAGATGTGGCATCTTCTCTGGAAGTACTTTTCCTCCATCCAGAGGTGGTATCTTTAACCGATGAAGATGCACAAGGTAATGTATCAATTTCACTTGAAGCTTACTTGTAGTTTCGGGCTTGGTCAAGTGCGATACAAACCCTATAGTAGGAGTCCCCCAAGTTGCCGAGCTAGGAGATTTGCCGAATGAGGTAATAGACAAGGTAAGCAATCAGACTTCCAAGCAAGAAACCTGGATTAGAGGTTCGACTTCGGCTTCCGGTTGATTGTTTAACTTCGGCTTCCGGTTGATTGTTCGACTTCGGCTTTCGGTTGATTATTCTCATTCTCATTGTGTCGTAAACAGCAACAAGGATAAGGAGAAGCAAATGAAGAAGAGATGATATGAGATACTTTTGCTTTTGAAGAAGTAACTTTCCACAGGCTTATTCTTAAACCGGGATTGAGGGTTTTCTGGTTTCCTCCAGAGTATAAGGCTGATTCAAGAATTTGAGGGTCAAAACAAGTCCATCAAATCTAGAGTACGTTCGACCCTGATGATATGAGATACTTTTGTTGTTGACAAAGTAGTGGATGTTTCGGTACGTGTTCTGTTACACTTGTCTCCACATGCTTACTTGTATCCTTCTCACTTGCCATATTTGTTTCTCAGGCAGATGTGGTATCTTCTCTGGAAGCATAAGATATTGAAGATGAGTACTCGAGAGCAATGTCAGGTAAGTAATCAGGCAAAGGGTTCTAGACAATCAGTTCCTGACTGGAAGCTTGATTCCAAATGTTGACTGATTGCTCTCTTTCTCCTTGTCTTGCAGGTAAGAACAAAGCCAAAGGAAAAGACAGGGAAAAAGCATGATATGGGATACTCTTGCTTTTAACCCTGATGATATGAGATACACTTACTCTGGTGTGGTTTGTTTGCAAAGGTATTATCGTGAGGAAAAGAAGCTGAGTATTTCGAGAGACTCTGCTGAGAGTGCCCTCTCGGATGTGAAGAAAAGTTGAGCATTTTTTTTATTTGCAGGTCTGCCTGGCTGTGGAGGATGGAGGTCGACATATATAGGAGTCTCCCTAACAACAAGTAGTAGTGTTATTCCTTTACCCTTCTTGGTCATAGCAATGTAGTGGGAGCTACAAGCTTCACGTGTTTTAACTTTGTCAGAGCACTTTGAAAAAGTGGTATGTGGTATCTGGAAAGCTGATGTTATGTGTGAAGATTGCAGACAAGCTTTATCCAAGAAAATTTGGCTCTCGAAGTTCGGAGAGCGGTGCCTTTTTGGTTTTTGAACAAGCAATCCTGTCGGGGATCTGGCTCTCAAGATTCAGAGAACGGTGCCTCTTCGATTTTTGAGAAAGCAATCCTGTTGAGAGTCTGACTTTTGAGATTCAAGAGTCAGTGTCTCTTCGATTTTTAAGAAAGTAATCTTGTTGGGAGTCTGGCTCTTGAGATTCGGAGGGCGGTGCCTCTTCGATTTTTGAGCACGTAATCCTGTTGGGAGTCTGGCTCTCGAGATTTGGAGAGCGGTGCCAAATGTTGATGCATAAAATCAGCGAGGACTTTGGTGCAACAGAAATTGTTAAGTTTGTGACATTCGCTAGATTGCTCCGATCACTAGTATGGATAAGTATGTAAATGGATAGAGACACGGAAGCAAACAAGATGTATGTGGTTCACCCATATTTGCTATGTCCATGGAGTAGAGGAGTTATCATTAATTGTGAAGGGTTTACACAAGTACATAGGTTCAAGCTCTCATTTTGTGAGTACTAGTGAATGATTTAGTACAAATGATATTATGAAATATTGTGAGAGAATGATATCTATTTATAGAAGAGAGTTTCTAGTTTCATTCTGACATTGACACGTGTCGTGTTGTGATTGGTTTCTGATGTCGACACGTGTCGCGCTGTGATTGACTTTCTGGTTGGAGGGTAATTCTTCTGGGTCTTTGACAGTATAACGTTGACCGGTGCTCAGTAATTTCGAGATTGGTCAAGTATGGTACAAACAAAGAATTAAAAGTGTTTTTTTTTATTAATAAGAAGGGTGGTGCTATATCCACTTTTATTTCCCACACACCTCTAATTAATTTTTGTCATTTGATTTTTTTTTAATTTATTCTATCTAACAATTATAATTTAAAAGGTGTGTAAAAAATAGTAAGAGGCGTGTGAATGTCACAATTTCATAAAAAAGGATAAAAAGTTTCTCATGCATACTGCATCCGATTTAGTAACTTGGTCAACTTGGTACTCGTCTAGGTTTTGACCATATACTATCGTTATTTAAGTTGACACTGGATGATCTGGCAAATTTGGCTTCTCTTTTGACACTTAACATGAGAATGGTAGAGAAAATGAAACTGTTGTAGATTAGCTAATTCGTTTTGGCTTCTCTAGTCACAGATTCAATACTACAAAATACAAAAGCCAACAATACCAATATATCATGAAGCACGAGCATTTTATAAAACAAAAACAAAAAATCATGCACCAAGGTTACTCACATGTACATGCTTTTTTGTGCAGCAAGGGTACATGGTGCTATCAACACACTTTTTTTTTCTCTTACACACTTCTTTCAATTTTCGGCTGCTGAATCAAATGAATTGAAGAAGATTAAGGGACAGAAATTAACAAAGAATGTGTAAGAGGTTAAAAATGGGGAACAACACTTGGCTACTTAAAGAATGAGTAGGAGTTTTACTCAAAACTTTTCGTTTCTAATTTATAGATTTTCCTGTTTATGATCAGAACCATTTATATTATAAATCACTCTATAAAGATCGCATATGCAAAAAATTAATTAAAACTAAGATCGTTTAGTCATCGAATTGTATAAAACCAGATAAACAAAAATGGTAAAAGCACCTACTAACCGTCTATGTATTTATGACAATAGATTGACTAAACGACCTTAGTTTAATTCTTTTTTGCAAAGATGATATTTTCAAAGTGATTCATAATATAAATGGTTCTAATGATAAGCACAAAACTATGTAATTCAAACATTAATTTTTTTTAATAGGAGTTTCTACTCGTCCTTGAGTAACCAAACATTGTTAAAAAATGAGTTTGTGACCTATACGTAAATCTTTGGTTGCGATTGCACCCGTTTCCAAATGTAAACTAATTAATTATTAACTGTTCGAACGGTCATAATCAAGGTCAAACACCAACAAAATCTTATCTTCTTTGTTCCAAGTTAATCTAATCAAATATTACAGACTAAAATAGCAAACAACTGTACGTACACTAGTACTCTTGATCATGGAAAAACACTTTACTCATCCATTATCTTGAAAATTAACAAGGCAATTACAAAAAGTGAATAAGTATAATTAAAGAAAGGAGTAATTAGCTATAGTGACCGTCATCTTCTGATTCTTCTCCACATACGTTCCCAAAAATAGAAAACAAAAATACAAGGTCCAAAAATGGTGTGGTTAACACTTGACACATGATGGACCTATGTGATTAACGACAGCTCGCTCCACGTATAGCTTCAGACTGTTGGATACCAAAAACACAAGTAACGTGGTATGGGAGTGATGTGAAAAATAAGTTAACACACAAAATTAAACCCTCTTTTTATCAATTGTAGTAAAGTATGTAAGTAGGGATCGTTCTAGGCCGGGGATTATGAGGGATTGCTAAATCACTTGGAAACTGACTTGAAAACGTAAAAACAAAGTTTAAAACACTAACTAGACTCAAAGAATGCAAAACTATACTTTAAAACACTAAAACAAACCAAAAGACTCAAAACAGCCCCTAAACACTCAAAACTACCTTAAACACACAATATGGGCAGTTTTGGGACTCTAACACAAACTTGGACAAATTTTGGTTTTCTAATGAACTAAAACACTTAAAAACATAATCTAAGACAAGTTCTAATTAATATGACTCAAAGAGATAAGATGGGGTTGATTTTGGACGAAAATAATTAAATTAAGACAAGAACAAAGTAAACAAATTCTTAGACAAATTTAAGTGAATCAAAACAGATTGTAAAATGAATTTGAATGAAACTTATGGATGGAAGGCTAGCTAGGAGGTTCTTCTCCACACATGCCACACTTGCATACAAAACGATTTCCAGTTGCTTTTCGATAAGCTATGAATACTCAACGCCCCAAAATTAACCGTGAATTGCACTAATTAACCCTCAGTTTTTCCACAAGTTATTGGATTGGATGATTGCATACGACAACCCAAAACATTCCCTACAAGTTCCCTACATGAATTGCATAATAGAGATACAAGCAAGAATCATTAAGTTCTATGAAAAACATAAGCATTGACGAGGCACTCGTTACTATGATTTGCATGAAACTTATGCCAAGAATTTACTTAACGTGATTGTGACTAGCAACCTTCACTACTTGGGAATATAAGTTCATAACGATTAGGTGAAACTCCCTTATATTCTAGCGTTAAATTCATGCATGAAAATTAAGCGTGCACTCTCAAACAACATACACAAATCATTTTTTATACGATCGGATAAGTAAATTGAATTCACAACTTATGAATCACAACTGGATGTAATCAAATCATATTGCAAGTATGAACATAGTTTCGAATCACCCCCTAACTAAGAGGGGTTTAGTTCCTCATACTCACAAAGCAAAGATACATAAAATTAGACATTAAAATCAAAGGAAAGAAAACACCTAAAATGCTCCAACTTGGTAGCAAGTGCATCCAAGATTCCTCCTTTCCCTTGCTTGCGGCAGATTGGGTTATGGACAGATTTTGGGTAGTTTTATGATGTAGAATGGATGGGGAATGGTATGGAAGGGTTTAGGGTGAGTGTGGAGGAGTGTTTGATGGTTGGAGGGTGGTGGAGAACTAGGCAAAGAGGGTGGAAGAAGGTGGAGTGGCTGTTATGTTTTCTAGGCACTAGAATGGTGTTTTTGAGGTGTTTGCTTCCTAGGGTGTGTATGGACGAATTTTTGTGATAAAATGATGAATATGGGGGATTGTCCTTTGGCCAAGGGGTGTAAACATGTATTTATAGGCCCCAAAAACCTTAGAAAATCAGGTTAGGTTAAGGATGAAATGCATGGCAATTTGTTTGTGTGGTGTGCAATGGTCCAAAGGTGAAAATGAAGTAATGATGCAAAGTGTGAAGGGTAAAATGGAGTGGTGTTGTAGTTAGGGAGCATGAATGATTGTGTACATTGCATAGAGATGGAAAGGGAGGTGAAATGTGTCAACAAATGGGTTAAAGGTGCAACAACATGTGTTGCACATGGCATTGGATTCCAAATGTGAATGATGGAGCATCAATTGGTGCATGTAATGGATGTAAATGTTGTCTAAAATCTAATGAGTGAAGGGAACAAGAGGTATCAAGCAATTGAGTGTAATAATTAAATGAATTAAAGCATGAAATTAGAAATTATGTAGGGGACAAGAGTGATCAAGCATGGCATGGAATCCAAAGGGAATTCTATGTGGTTTGCATGGCAAGGAATGCAAGTTGGGGTGACAGATTTTTGGGCTGTTTTCTTCATCTTTTGGACCATAATTCTTCATATTCTTGGCCTCTTTAGTTCTCAAATTCGTCCATCCACTTGGCTCATGCATTTGCTATCCATTCCAAGCCCGAAACATGCTCCAAAGGCCTCCAAAATGCATCTTCTTGCATACTTTGTACTTAGAGTCTGAAAACACACAAAAATAACTTTGAACACTAAAATAACTAAGGAAATACAACGTAAATGCACAAGAACAAGTTAACTAAGTCGCATAAATATGCTCCTATCAGGGAGTACAGCTAGCTCTCAGATATACTGAGTAGCTCCTCCAAATAGTCTGCGCCTAAATCCTCAAACACCACAACATTTTCCAACTGATAATCATCTTCTTCATCGTTCTTTTGATGCTGATTACGGTACAGTATTTTATTATTTTTGTTCGTCGATGACTTTCTCTTCATGGAGTGCCTTCTCTTCAAGGCCAACACCGGAGACGCACCATCTTCAAAGCCATACTCCATCTCCACAAGCGACTGATAAACCACGTCCGCCGGAAAGTTGAGAACCGCCAAAGACCCCCGCATTGCAAATGCTGCTTGGTCATAAGCCAAAGCAGCAGCCTCCGCCGTGTCAAAAGTTCCCAACCAAACCCTAACACCGTTTCGCGTCGAATCTCTTATCTCTGCAGCAAACTTTCCCCACGGCCGCCGCCGAACACCTCTATAAGCAACCACTTGATCTTCGTCAGCAGTGGCACTAGAAGAATTCACTTCTTCTTGGTCTTTGGAGTGAGTGGATGATACTATTGAACCCGATGAGTTCCCATCTCCTGCAGGCGCCTCAGCAAGAACTCCATATAGAAGCATTTCTTCTGAGTCGTTCTCATTAAAGGGTAGTTGGGGAAAGGCTGATTGGTTGTGATGATCATTAGAGTTGAACACGTTCCATGAGAGATGACCATCGTGAGAATATTCTCGAGAGTTGAAGGAAGAAGAAGATTCGAACGAGAATTCAGAATTAGGGTTTTGGAAGAACGAAGAGTCCATCTTACTCAGGGAAGAAATAACAATTTGCAGAGTTTCTTCTTCTAGCTCTATACTTTGAACAAGTATTGGACTGGATATTTCAGTGAGTGATGTCTGTTTTGGGGTTAAAAAAAAAATTGAACGCATAGGACTTTATATAGGGAGAGAAGGGAATTAAGGTCCCATTAGGATCCATGTTTTAAAATATATAAAAATAAATAAAAATAATGGTGAAAAGGATAGAAAGAGAGATGAATTATTTGAATAACATCTAAGCGGTCGTGAATGGAGACCAAGGGAGGAAGGGGTTGATCCCACGTGAGTCAAAGAAACTCAGAGAGGACGATGGACATGGCGGCTGCAGCAGTTAAAAGAATTTTTTTGACGTCTGCCCGATGATTTCATTGTGCGATGTTACTTTTGGGGTTAAGGCCTCCACTTGCAAGTTATATGTTTGCATCGCCGGATCTAACATGGACTATGTTGTGTTGCATGTCCTTGTCACATACTTAACTCCATCTGGTAACCCTAGCTAAAATTAAAACGGGATGGTCAACTTGATTCCGTACAACTTGGACAAGAGGGTATGTATGTGAAATAAGTCGTTAGGCAAGCCAGACTATATCCACGATTGTCATTAATTTGGCCCAACAGTCGACATACCTGCTTTTCGCTCAAAGTGATTAGAAGGAAACGATCATCTAAAAGAACATCAACCCAAGCCAAAACCATACATTAAACCACATTTTCTGATTAATTAGGTTTATAAACTCTTCTTAATTATTGAATAAGTTGACGCCAATAGGGTAGCTGTTATGCAGTTTATTTCTTTGATCACTAGCTAAAAAGACGATATTCGAATTTAAAACATTTTCAAAAAAGAAATATCAGTAACCCTAATAGCTAGGTGATGAATGAATTAGAATGAATAAATTGACCTTGAAATACTCATTGGAGGAGGGTTATAAGAAGCATATATGAAAATTTTGCATATCTCCGTGTCACACCTCCTAGATTGCACAACCTAGACATGACACAAGATGCCTACATTCATACAAATTTTTTCTCTCATCAAAGATATTGGTATTTACGCAGCAAATTCCCAATTATATGACCACTCATATTTATCCAAAAGTTAATATAGTAGTTGATAGTTTTGCTAATAGAAACTGTTATTAGTATTTCAAAAAATCTTATTTTACACTCTTTACAAGTGTATTTTATTTTCTAATAATAAAAAGTTTGAAGTGTAAAATGAAAATTTTAAAGTGTCAATAATAATTCACTTGCAATTTACCACATAATTACAATCAGCCTTGTATTTAGTTTTATAATTTTTCTATAGAAATAACTTCTCAATTATTATTTGATTTCTATGGTAATAAGATCGGTCAAGAATCTTTCTAACAAAACAAGAGAGAGAGCTCTCCTTAATTACCTTACGGCAGCCTGTCCTGATCTACTAAGAGCATCTCCAATACGAGTCCCTGGACTTCCATACCATCTTTAAGGACTTATTTAGGAGCTTTTGAGGAATATTCGAGTCCCTAAAAGAATATTGTCTACAATGAAAATTTCTTATAGTATAATCCCTAAATGTAGGGACTAAAATATTACAAAATTATTATTCATTTCATTGGAGTATTCTACCATTGATTTTTCAAGAATTAAAAGAAAAAGACAAATGAGAAGTTGCCCCACTTGGGTTGTTTCAAAAAACAAGAAAAAAAACATAAAGAGCAGCATAATTTCCACTCAAAATTAATATAAAGTCCACTATTTGAGTCTCTATATGTAGTCCTTATATTTGAGAATTTTGTTGAGTACCCGGCGAGTCCTTATGTATTGAAATACTTTGAAGACTTCAATTTAGGCTTGGAAGTCATTTGTCCCTATATTTAGGGACTATATGGTTGTAGGAACTCCATTTAGGGTCTCTAAGGTCCTTATTTAGAGGACCTCTGAGGACTAAATGCATATTAGTCAAAAATATTAGTTTAGATCCAAATGCTTAAAATATTTGACAACTTAACAAAGAAAAAAAAAAGAAAAAAAGAAGAGTTTTCTAATGCTTCATGAATTTTAAGTTAGTTTTGCTTTGTTAAGTTATTAGATATTTTAAACTTTTGAATCTAAACTAATATAATTTGTGGCTATTATGCAATTAGTCCTCACATTTCCTCTAAATGAGAATATTAAGAGAGCAAATATACGACAGCCATACGAAAGTAAATCGTTGTACGGGTTGGCTTGGGGAAGCCGCTAGAATGAATGAGCTGGTTGTTGAGTGGGAAATAGGGATCATCCTGGGCTTTTGTTCTTCCGCATGTATGGGCCACCTAATTTTCGACAAGAAACCAAGAACCACTACAATACATACTCATTTGTCACTACCAATTCAACATGTTGGAACTTTCAAAGCATTAATGCCGATAATATTCGATGTAACTCGAGTTTTGTTTCCTTTAAAACAGAAAAATAAGATGGACCAGAAAAAATAGAGAAACAATGGAAAATGAATAGGAAAAGTATATACAGCCACAGGAAAACAAAATTGCCTATGGCCACTTGAGCTCTATTGGGATTTAGAAAGTGCATGAACCTGTATAAATCATTCAACTAGGCATACTGCTGCCTTCAAGTTTTGTACCGTTCAAATTATTGGGTTCAGAAACTGCCATATTTTATTTATTTTTGTTGAACGGGACTTGGTTGTTGAAGATTTAGTAGCACCCTTTGCTGATAACCAATCACGGTTGGACACGTGTCTAAGTTGTGAATTTTTTAATCCAACTTAGACATGTGTCCAGCTGTGATTGGTGATCAGTAGGACGTGCTACTGATTCTTTCAGCAACCAAGTTCTATCCATTTTTGTTGACAAGTTCTGTGTTTTTGTGGTCGAGAGACCTCAGTGCATCGTTGGGAAGGGCAGATATATGGGTTTTCAGAGGACGACCCGTTAAAAGGCCGTCTATTATTTCATGATGTCAATAGGTACATTTCCCACGTGGGAATAAGCTATGTCTAGTTAACATCACATATATTCCTTGCCCACAACTTTATGATGTCATCTTAATTGTTATACACAAGTTGTATATGTTTTTCTTTTGTGATATATGCGTACAGAAATTGTTACAAATAATGTACATGTTGTATATACAAGTATTAGGAGATGAAGAATTGAATAGAGAGATTAGGGTGCACGTTTAACAGCTCATAATTACTATTTGAAATACAACCGGATTGCTTGCATGTTACTTTTATCTTTGCAAAAACCAAAGTATGCTTTTGCATTTTTGTATAAATAAAATAAAAGATTAGGAAGATATTAAAGAGGATGCTATAATTTGCATGCTTCACCAAACAATCTGGAAAAACGTTTGATCACAAATTTAAAGCTAATGTCGTTATATGCATGCATTTCTCTTGTTTCACCTATAAGATTTCAATGGTGTTACTTTTTCTGGTTATCTTTCATTAATCTTAAGAGATCATAAAGAGATTAAAAATTCTAATTAATATTTGAGTGTTGTAATGCGTGTCCCTCTTGTTCTTAACACAGCCTTTTTGACCAAGCATTATCCATAATTTACCTTTTGATTAGCCCTCGTGCATGTGGTTGCATTTTCATACACCATTTCAAAGATATAAGGGGGCGTTTGTTTGCCCTCATTAAGTGGGATTAGACTGGACTGGACTAGCTGTTAGTCCAATACTGTGTTTGTTCCATGCTGGGACTAACATTAATGAGACTAAAGGGAACTAGCATGGACAAAACCCTTCACTAAGTGGTCTTAGCGAGACCCCCCAATAACCATGGGAGTAGCTAAGACTATCCTCTCTCGTCCTCGTCATGCTCAACAACCACTCTCGATAGACTCCTCGTCATCTCCGGTCACCTAGATCATAATAAAATATTAATAATTTATATATTAAATAATATAATATTAGAATTTGTTATTATCCAGCTTCTTAGTCCAACACTGCACCAAACGCTTCACTAAGTTAGTCCAGCTTAGTCTAGTCTAAGCCAGTCCAACTTAGTCCTTGAAGCTAGTCCAGTCCGAGATAGTCCAGCGCAACAAACGTCCCCTAATATCTTTACTTAGGAATAGCCATACTTAATTGTATGTTTAATTTCATAACACGTAGAGAACAAGACATTTATTGTATGGCTGTATACGTCGCTAGGTTTAGCTTCGTAGTTTTTTTTTTTTTTTTGTATTAAAGAGATAAATAATATTAAATTCTAATTGAAATGTTTACATCCTCAGCTAAAGTATTAAACAGAAAAAGAGGATAATTCCACTTGAAGCCTCCCTCTTTAAGAACATACGCCACCACGGGTTAGCTTCTTAATTAAAGACTTGAAAAGGATGACGAACAAAAGTAAAGTAAGTTCAGAATTCAAATCTTTTCAATATAACCATAGCTATGTATGTGTATATACACACAAATATGTTTCAAAAAATACGCACAAATATATAAATATCTACATCAAACCAGACATGAATTTCCACTGAAAAACAATAAAACAATATTTAAATATCCAGCTGTAAATCATTGTTGTCTGTTAAATTGGCAATACTACAGCTTAAAACGTCACGTAGACATAGGCCATGTGGTGCATTGTATGAAACCAGCCCATTGTCACTTTCAATGAAAGAAGAAGATTCAAGTGATCCTTAAATCTTACAAAATAAAACAAACATCCAAAAGAAAAATAAATAAAGAATTACGAGATAACCTAGTTGTTGAGGACGAATAATTATGGTTTCACATGTTGCGTTTTAAGTTTGATTCAGTCATATAATATTTTTATTTGACTGAATTATAACTAAGATATAAATGTCCCCATGCTTAATAATAAATTAATACAAGATTAGCAACTAAGATTGGTGGTGCAGTTGTTTTGTGTGTTTCAAAAGCTGGTCAGGCTATTATATTATATAATCACTCGCTAATTACTTTGAACTAATTATCATTGTGTGTGTGATTGAAAAGAAGGTTGGTCAACCAAACTTCGATTGAAACTCTAGAAGTATTTGAAAATTAGGCGATATTAGTTCTTTGTCAATATCCACGTGCAAGGCACTTATGCTTTTCCGAAGGGTGAGGACCACTACAACCAAAAATCTCCCGCCCATCTAACCGCGATGTCTCATACAACTACATTTGTTCTTGTAATCCATAACCTAATAGAACGCAACAGCGAGGGGCAACCCACCCGTACAGATCTTCTACCAAATTTATTGATAATAAACAAAAGTAAACAGAGAAGATACATGCGACTATGCCAAGAACTACAAAAAACAAAAACGCAACATCCCTTCGTAATCCCGCATCGTGGGTCTTAGTCAGACGTCCTGGTGGTTTGGGAGTCCGCAAGAGTTAGTGAATTATACTGAATAATTAAAGGGAATTGTTATTAGTACTCTAAAAATTTTATTCTGCACTTCTCACAATTGTATTTTTATTTCTAATTATATAAATTTTAGAGTGCAAAATGAAATTTGTAAAGCGCCAATAACATTACCTGATTAAAATACAAAAAAAAAAGGCAAGGGCAAGGTGTTGTTGAATTGGGCCGATTTGTTCAGTAGGCTGGGCAGTATTCATGGTTGATCATTTTTGGTTTAGATTGTCCCTGACCCTGAAGTGGGCATGGGTTAATTTGGGCCAATGATGATGGTCCTTGTTGGACCAGCCCAATAAAACTTCAACTGAATAACTGAAGTCTGAAAGTGAAAAACTCTCTCTCTCCTCTCCTCTCTCCTCTCCTCTCCTCTCTCTCTCTCTCATCCGGAAGCAGCATCACTGGTGAGATAAGGGACAAACCTCCTCCCTCCCTCCAAAGTTTGCAAATTTCCAAAAACCCACCACCACCACCACCACCACCACCACCACCACCACCATGCTTTCGGTAACAGCAAACTCTCTCAAACCCTTCTCATCTTTCAACCCCACCACTACCACAACCTTCTTATCCTCCACCACCTTCCTCAACCCCCACCCACCACCCCTACACCACACCAAACCTCTTTCCCCGAAACCCATCTCCGCCACTCTCACTCCCTCCTCCAGCTCCCAACAGCAGCAACAACAACTCTACCAGCCATTCCGGCCGCCCCCATCTCCAATCCCCTCCAAATTCCGCTCCCTCGACGCCAATGGCCGCCTCGAGATCCTCGCCAACCGCCTCGGCCTCTGGTTCGAATTCGCCCCCCTAATCCCCTCCCTAACCCAAGAAGGCTTCACTGCCCCCACCATCGAAGAAATCACCGGCATTTCCAGCGTCGAGCAGAACCGCCTGGTGGTGGCGGCGAAGGTGAGGGACTCTTTAATCCAATCTAACACCGACCCAGAAATCGTTTCCGAATTCGACGTGAGGGGTTCCGAATTGCTGTACGAAATTCGGCTCCTGAGTGTCCAGCAGCGAGCTGCTGCTGCCCGTTTCATAATTGAGAACAAGCTTGATGCCAAAGGAACTCAGGATTTGGCCCGTTCGATAAAGGACTTCCCTCGTCGGGGGACCGAAAACGGTTGGGAGAGCTTTGACTATGCCAGCGCTGGGGATTGTTTAGGGTTTATGTATTTTAGGCAGGCGAGGGAGCACAAGAATCCATCTGAACCTAGAACTGCTGCTTTAGAGCAGGCATTGAAGGTTGCACAGACCGATAAGGCTAAAAAGGTAATTTTGAAAGAGTTGGAGGGAGAGAGTGAGGAGAAGGAGGAGGAGGACGATGTTGCAGTAGGGGTTCGGGTTCCGGTTGTGAGGTTGAAGTTTGGGGAGGTGGCAGAGTCGACTAAAGTTGTGATCTTGCCAGTTTGTAGGGCGGAGGAGAAGGATAAGGAGGTTATGGAGGCCCCGTGGGAGTGTAGGAGTGAGGGGGAGCTTGGGGTTATTGTGGCAGAGAAGGGGTGGAAGAGGTGGGTGGTGTTGCCGGGTTGGGAGCCGGTGGTGAGTTTAGGAAAGGGCGGAGTTGTGGTGTCGTTTGGTGACGCGAGGGTTTTGCCTTGGAAGGTGAATAGGTGGTATAAGGAAGAGCCTATTCTGGTGGTGGCTGATAGGAGCAGGAGGGAGGTGGAAGCTGATGACGGGTTTTATTTGGCAGCAGTGGATGGTGAGGGTTTGGGGTTTAAGGTTGTAAGGGGATCGGCATTGAAGGAAACTGGTGTGGAGGAGAGTTTAGGGACTGTGGTGCTGATAGTGAGGCCACCAAGAGACGAGGCAGACGATCAATTGAGCGAAGAGGATTGGGAGTAGAAGTGTAAGAGTATGGTCCTTGTATATCACTCTTGTTACAAAGGAGATTCATACAACTCATATAAGGATTTTCGGTAAGGTTTAACCAGATTAGTCGTCATTGTTTCAGAATTACTCTCTTAGGAGGTTTTGAACTGTTTTTTGTATGTTTATCTTATGTTCTGAATATTAAACGATTTTCGACTTCACTAGATATGTTATCTTTTGTAATGTGTGTTCATTCTGTGTATCGTAATGAGCTCATTCCGTTTCAATAACAAAACAGAACAGTAATCTCTTGGGAACAAACAGCCATGAGATGAGATGAGCCTCATTTTATTTATATATACTTTATGGAAGTACAACCCACTAAAAGTTTGAAACGAAAACCTGCACTACACACAGTCTACGATCGAGCAGGCTTGCAAGGACACTAGAAACTTGGAAACCAAACTTGTTCAGCAAGCACATAGGTAGATAGTAGAAGCTAGATACTAGGCACAAGAAAGATGAAATTTTATCAACGGGAGGAACTGGTTTGACGTCCTCTTTTTTCATCCGACAGTTTCTTGGCAAACCTGTACAAATGCAACAAGTTACTGAAGAAACAGATGAAAATTGTAAATCACAAAACAGATATGATGAAAAAAGTGACTTGATCATATGATCAGCTTATAGTGTTCTTATTTCTTACTGTGCAAGTGCGTCTTTGTATTTGAATGTGTTGTTAATTGGTTCCAACAAGCCGGTCTCCAGGTTCAGTGCTGAAAAAGGTTTTTCGAGGAGTTGATTCCCAATCTTCTCAAGGTGCTCGAGATTTTCTTTGCGGGAGTCATCCAGAACAGCTTCAGTGTATTTCAAGCTATCATCCTGCATCCATGGCATTAAATAATCAGCCGGAAGTAAGGTATCTTTCTTCATTCTTTGGTGGTTTACTATGTACCTGGATCCGGAGATAGTTATCATTGTAGCCTGAAACGTTGAAGAAAGCAGACATGTATATGTCAACCATGTCTTCTGTTGCAGTTGTCAAAACATCAAGTAAAGGGGTGGTATCTTTTGGGCCTACAAACCATTGAAAGATTCCCCATGGTTCATTTTCGTCAACCTCAAGCTTCTCATCCCTCTTCGAGGATCCAGTTCCCAGGGACAGAACAAGAAGCTTGCTACTATCAATGTTCTTCAAGCAATGTGCCACATTTTTATTTGGTGACATCTCCTTAGCACTCTCAATGATTGCAAGCAAAGTCTGCAACAATTTTTACACGAATCAGTTTGATCAAAATCTTCAATTAATGAACGTCTAAGAGTGTATATGTACCGGATTGTTGGCTGCAACGCCACCATCGATGAGGTTAAATTCTCTCGGGAGTCCCTTTGATGGTGTGTGCGTGAAATGGTGGGAAGGGAGATAGTATGGTGCTGCAGTTGTGCCAATGCAGACATCTGCTAGCAGAACATCCTCCAATTCATCACGTTTCGCCTCTGAGGTGGAGAAGACGACTGGTTGGAGAAACTTGATATCATAAGAGGGGATGATGACGTTGGTTATAGTCTCGTGAAGCCGTGTTTTCCCAACTATCTTCCTGATTCTGTCGCGCAGGTCATAACCTTCGTATTTGGGGTGTAACGTTTCTTTCTCGACCCATGACAGGATTTCCGCCACCTTTTCAACCTTCTGTCCGACCCATCCAGCCCATGTTTCAAGCCACTCAGGTATGCTGCAAGGACCAATCCAACAGTTCAATTCATAAGATATATACAGTGAGATTGTTATTAGCACTTCAAAATAGTCTCGCCTTATGGAACGTACATTCGAGCGGTTTTGGTCGGTTCTTGAGGGAATATGTATGGACTCTCATCAAAATAAAACTTCTTGAGTTCATGTGCTTCAAACAGAGGTTGCTTTTTTTCATTTGGTGTGGTAATCATAGCAGTAACAAGGCCTCCTGTGCTGGTTCCAGCAATGTAGTCAAAGTAGTCTGCAATCCTCGCATCTTTCCCATCCAGTTTCTATTCATTTAGGAAACGTTTTGTAAATCAATCAATTATGTGAGAATGAAGAACAAATTCGAGGTTCCGAAGAAACGAAAAAGAAGTATGGCGGACACAGTCACGCTAACCTGGAGTTTGGACTCGAGAAAGGCGAGCATGGTTGCCGGAATGATGCCTCTCACTCCTCCTCCATCAATGCTAAGGATAGTGGTAAACTTTCGACCATCTGATCATGATCACCATGGAAGCAATGTAATCAGATTCACTTCTGAAATATAATTAGCAACAATTAAAAAAATAAGTGATTTATGCACTCTTTTTCCCCCTTTGCACGCCTTTGTTATTTTCCGTTCCTATATAAACAAGGTGTACAAAGAGAGAACAGACATGTGCGGAAATTGCTTCTCTGAACTATAATAATGTAGCTAACAAATCTCACCAGCAGCTCCCATTGTACTTTCAAGTAATGGGAGTGTGTGATATCTTGGGTATTCAACTTCAACCTCCCCCCTTTTTATATGCAATGTTGTGAAAACATGACAACCTTCAAATCTGGAAGCAATTGACAAAACCCATCACCTAAATGTAGCTAAATTACACATTTGCTTGTATAAAGGCTATCGGCAGATCTTGGAGCTTCTTCTTTTTCCTTTCTAAAAGTTTTGAGTACGTACAAAATGTGCATAAAACATGTGAACTACCTATACCCCTTCACGTTTCTCACCACCCTCGGGCTCGGCAGACAGTCTCTGGTTCTTGTTATGGTCTTCGATGGCCACTGAACGAAGTAGGGTTCTACTACAAAACCAATTAGCAAACCAATTAGCGATATTGGAAGTAACTCAACTCTTTATAAGCCCTTGCATGGTTTGGTCCTTCACATATGTGGAATTTTGTTCTCATATTCTCACACGCCCTCTCATGTGCACAAATTGGGTAACGTGGAACATATGGTTATTGAGCTTCACATCTGGGATAAACCTACTAGGGTACCATGAAGAAAATTTGGGAAGTAGCCAAACTCCTTATAAGCCCATGCATTCATCGATGTGGGACTTCCTCATATTCTCACTGTGAGGATGTGAAGGTAAAAGAGTCTCACATCGTCAAAAGATAAACCTTGCAAGAGTTTATAAGAGGTTGAGTTACTTCCCATATTGCCAATTGGTTGAGCTTATAACAGGTATGGCTATTCCTCATATTGCCAATTGTTTTTATGGTGAAACCTCAACTTTTTCATGGTATTAGAGAGCTAGGTTGGCCTATGTATGAAGCCTAATGGCCACACGTGCTCCACGTCACTTGATTCGTGTTGTCCACATATTTGGCTTGAAAATTCACCACGCATGAGAGGGAATGTGAAGGTAAAAGAGTCTCACATCAGTTAAATGATGAAACTTACAATGGTTATAAGAGGTTGAGCTACTTCACATATTGCAAATTGGTTTTATGGTTTGGTTTCATTCTTACAAAATGCCTCCTCAAGGCCTGTTTAGCACAATTTGAAATGGACTTTGACATAGTTCCGTTAGTTAATCCGATCTCATTACAATGAAAGAACCCAAAATTTCACTATTTCTTCGTAATCACATTATAGTCTTAGATCATCTCCAATCATACTCTCTGTTTTTAAGTCGTTAAGATGCTCCGAGTCACCACACACAATAAGAAGATAAATAACCGCAATTATACACATTCGAAGCATTTAAGAAAATATACATGCATTCAAAGTATTATTTGCATTACATCACTTTTCTTCATACAAAACACAATTTTTGCTTCAAACTTGAAACTAACTAGTACTAAAAGCAACCCTAAGCTATGATGTTACTTGAAACTTCACCAACTATTCAAACATCAACACTCATCTTTTATCTGACCGCAATCTTCGATCACAACAGGTTCAGAAGTAGTCCCACGCTCCGAACTCACCTTTTCCATCTTCTCAACAACACTGTATCCATCGACAACTTTTCCAAACACAACGTGCTTTCCGTCAAGCCAAGGTGTGCTCACGGTGCAAATGAAGAACTGTGAACCCTTCGTATTAGGTCCAGAATTCGCCATGGACAAAATTCCAGGGCCAGTATGCTTCAAGTTGAAGTTCTCATCTGCGAATTTCGCCCCATAAATCGACTCTCCTCCAGTTCCGTTGCCTCTTGTGAAATCTCCACCCTGGCACATGAAGTTTGGGATAATGCGATGAAATGTGGATCCCTTAAAGTGCAGTGGCTTCTCTGATAATCCAATCCCCTTATCTCCGGTGCAAAGAGCACGGAAATTTTCAGCAGTTTTTGGGGTTTTATCAGCAAATAACTCCATTACAACTAGACCCGCCTTCATCCTTCCGATCAATATGCAGTTGATATGGGATAACTTCTTGAGCTGTGAATGTTTTTTAACATGAAATTGCTTGTTGTTGTAAATCAGTGATCACTGTCTATTTGACGTGTATATATCTGTCTACCTCCTTAGTTTTATGTTCAAATTTTGGCATCGTTTGATGGATAATTAGTAACTGTTTTAATGATTTCTTTCAATTCTGCCATCTATTTGTATCTGGCATAATTCATGGTTAATGAACTTTTGGCGATTTCATTTCGATGACTTCATTGCCAGTAAATGCTTCGGCTCAGGCACTTTCTTACAACCAAGATAGTTAATGAAATTTTTGCAGTTTCTTTTTGCCTTGCTACGAATTTTAAGCACAAGTTCTGGTTTTAAAATGGCTTACGTCCCACCGCACAAGCGGCAGTTAACAGAAAAGGGGAGGCCCGTTACCAACACTGGAGCTGCTTGCTCCCCAGTTCAAGAAAAATTTAAATGTGAAGCCATCGAAGTATAATTTTGATACAAGATTTCTTTATGCAAACCATGCTATATCGAGATTTTGCACCATTCGTATGGATGATCAGAACCGGTTTCTGTCTACCGTTAAACTTGTGCCCATTTCCTTGGAATCTACCGAGTCGAATAGTGAAGAAAAACCTCTAGCTTTGATAGACTCCTGTCTCGATAATGGAAAGCAGTAGTTTAACATATGGTTAATATAGCTAAAGTTGTGCTTGAGGACCCAGTTTAACATATGGTACAGAAACTGGTTGGGAGGCTGTTTTTGGAAATGCTCGTTTCAAGGTTACAGGTAAGTCTTATATTTTTCTCTGAAAATCAAATATCTCTGTACCAAGAAAAGATCTATCATGTGTTCATAGTAACATGATGTCGATCTTATTCTTTCGATTTTTCAGGAAGAAAATGTTGAAATCCGCTTGATTTCTGATATGCTGCAGGACAATGTGAAGTTGATATGCTGTGAACCTTTTCTAACATGCAACGAAACTACGTGCATGCTGCAACCTCTCACTGGTGAAATAATCGTGTGCTGCTTCGTTGTAAACCTATGTAGTCGCAATGAAGTGCTTATTGGGAGAGTGATTGTTTTGCTTAATTAGGTGTTCATCGTGATATGATCAGGATGTTAACTTTTGCTGGAGTATGTATCATTTTAGGAGATTCTACCCAAAGTCCGAGAAAAATTTTCAATGTTTCGAGAACACTACCTGGTATACCCAAGTGTCATAATACAATTAGTTAAAAAAAATATTTAAGTGTCCAACCAATTGTATTATTACATGGTGTACTAGGCCATGTTCCTGACACAAAAAAATCTCTCCTAAAGTCCAATTGATAATAGGTGGACTATATATACTCTTGAGGTTCTACAATAACTTCTACAAAGCTAATGCAAGATCTTTTAACTTTTTGGTGATATACAACACTCAACATCACACGTTAAAGGTTCAAATAATGTTTATACATTAATTTGTACTTTGATTTTTTAACTTTCAGATGAAGAAGATGAAGGGTTTCTTCTTCATATTGATTTGTTGTCAAAGAAGAAGGTTTTCTTTAAATTGATTTTCTTTAATAATGAATATCCATTTTTTAATTGGTTTTTATTCATTTGGCACAAATTTTGTGGGGCCGGCCGACGACGTTCACATGGACAAATAACAGAGAAACTAACATAAATTAATACAGATCTAAGACATTTATACAAAATCGTGAATCGTCGTATGAAATTGAAAAAATTGAAAAACATACAAATTTGAAATTGGACGAGAACTTGAGGAGAAAAAAAAAATGTAATCTACCTGTTTTTACATTTTTCAGTGGGTTAGATGATTTGCATCACAAATTTCTGACCCACCGAACTCCAAAATTGGCTTTTGAGTTGTAAAATGAGCATTTCAAGATAATTTATTCTTTATTAAACTAAAACAGAATTTCAACTTCACAAAGCTACTTTTATTCTTTATTAAAACTCTCCGGTGATCACTCAGTATTACGGTCTGGTAGTTTTCATCTTCATTTGAAAATGAGAGATCTTACCAAATTAGGTTGCCTATTGTGTAGGTTAGCCGAACTCCCCCTCCTCTTAGTATAAAAATATCGATGTACGAAAAAAAAAAAACCCTCCAGCAAGGTTAATTAGCAAAAATTAAAGAAAAAACCCTCCGGCAAGGCTTGTCACAAAAAAAGCATTTAACCCTCCACCAAGGTTTGTCATGAAAAAAGCATATAACCCTCCACCAAGTTGTCTCTAAAATGAAAAAGAAAAAAAAAAAAAAAACCCTCCAGCAAGTTGTATAAGAAAAAGAAAAATCCCTGTAGCAAGTTGTAATCCTATATAATCGAGGGGAAGCCTCACTCATAATTCATTAAGCTGAGTTTATTCAAAGCATTCATCCTAAGCAGTGGCGAAGCCAGGATTTCTTGAGGGGAGGGGCGAACTTAAAAGAATGCAAGGTTAAAGAAAAATGACAACAACTAAATCTTTTTATCTAGTAATGTCTTCCATAATTAATCAATACAAACAAATTACAATTTGGAGATAATGTCTACGAATTGCTTCACGATAATTAGGTGGATAATCAATCATTCGACGTTTATGTGCAGGATCTGCAAGAAGATTAGCCAATATTTCATCCAACTCAGTGACCTCACTTTGTTGTGACTTACTTGGAATATTTGAAGGATGACTTCTTAGAATATTTGAGGAGGAGGAGGACTACTCAGAATATTTGAAAGATATGGTAGTAAAACGAGTGTGGGTTTAACATAGTGGATATAGTAGTAAAACAAACATAAGGATATATTTTCATGTTGCAACAACTAGGAAATTACAATGATCAAATTTGATACAACTGAAAATATATTAAACAAAATTAAAATTTTGGCTTTAATGCTATGTATTGTTCAATCATACGAGTGTTTTCACAATTAAATTTGCTTTTCACAAATACTTAGATCTTATATTTTGATTCTCAACTGTTTATTTTCCGTATTATTCAATTATACGTAATATTTATATAAAAAAATCCAACTACAAGAACCATAAACTCGTGATTTATCATATTTGGGGAAAATAGGGCTTCTATTTGATTGGACCATTTCGAACAATTTATCCCCAACAGGCCCAATTGAATCGGGGGTTACCCAGTGGAGTTTTAGACTTGGGTCTGTAGCAACTTACCCGGTTGCAGAGAAGCATCGAAAATCCGAAACGAAGAAGAAGGTGGTGTTTCGTACGGAACACCAGAGCAAAGGAAACAATCAGACATGGGAGAGGTAGTAGAAGCCGTATCGGAGCACCGGAACTCGTTCGCAGCTCCAATTGTATTCGTAATCGTCGTCGCATTCCAGAGGAGATGAACCAGTGAGGTTTCCGGCGAGGGGAGTGGCGAACCCAGCTTTCCAGTGGTGTTTTCCGGCGAGGGGAGTGGCGGCCGCCACTCCTCGCCCCCACGTGGCTTCGCCACTGATCCTAAGCATTTCCTTTTTCTTTCAAATGGCGTCCAACTCTTCCAGCTCTTCCAACGTTTCCAACTTTCTTCCGATTAAACTTGACCCTACCAATTACCCTCTCTGGCAAGCCCAGATGCTTACCTTGCTTCGTAGCAGGAATCTCGTCTCCTTTGTTGATGGCACTAGCAAATGTCCTCCTGCCTTTCTCAAAGATGATGAGGGCAATCTTACTGATACTGTGAATCCGGAGTTTGAAGCATGGATTCAACAAGATGCTATGGTTATGTTCTGGATCAAGAGCTCTGTTCATACCACTGTGTTGGGTGCCCTAATCGGGAAAACCAGTTCTCATTCTGCATGGACCTGTCTGCGCGAATGCTATGATTTGCAGCCCACTGGCCGTCTTCTTCAACTTCACGGTGAGCTGATGAACACCCACCGTGGCGACTCCTCAATTGCTGAGTTTCTCAATCGTGTCAGTTGCCTTGCTGACGCCCTCTCCTTATCTGGTGCTCCTGTTTCTGACTCAGACATTGCTGCCATTGTTCTCAACAATGTTGGCCCTGCATGTGAAAGCACCGTGGCTTCTGCTCAGGATCGTGATGGAGCCATATCTCACAGTGCTTCAGAGGCCCTTCTGCTCACTGCTGAGCGGAAACAAAGGATGCATACTGTCTTCTTTGCTGATGCTAGACGCACTGCTCCCGCTGCTGCTCGTGGCGGTCGTCCTGGTACCTTACGTGGTCGTGGCAAAGGCTATAGAGGTATTCGTGGTGGTATGAGTGCTAGTTCTGGAATGGCTCATATTCCACCACACAAGCGGCACTCGAAGGAATATGAGAGGCCATTGCTGACTTCAGAGCTGCTTGCTCAACGATTCAAGAAAAACTTATATGTCAATCCATATAACAAGTCTAATGTTTCAAGCGGGTATGCTGGAAAGACCGATCCAACAGTTCAATTCATAAGATATATACAGTGAGATTGTTATCAGCACTTCAAAATAGTGTCCTCTTATGGAACATACATTCGAGCGGTTTTAGTCGGTTCTTGAGGCACTATGTATGGACGCTCATCAAAATAAAACTTCTTGAGTTCATGTACATAAAGCAGAGGTTGCTTTTTTTTATTTGGTGTGGTAATCATAGCAGCAACAAGGCCTCCTGTGCTGGTTCCAGCAATGTAGTCAAAGCAGTGTGCAATCCTTGCATCTTTTCCATCCAGTTTCTATTCGTTTAGGAGGAAGCATTTTGTAAATCAATCAATTAGGTAAGAATGATGAACAAATTCAAGGTTCCGAAGAAACGAAAAAAAGTCTGGCGGAAGCAGACACGCTAACTTGGAGTTCGGACTCGAGAAAGGCGAGCATGGTCGCCGGAATGATGCCTCTCACTCCTCCTCCATCAATGCTAAGGATAGTGGTAAACTTCCGACCATCTGATCATGATCACCATGGAAGCAATGTAATCAGATTCACTTCTGAAATATTATTAGCAACAACAATTAAAAAAGAAAAGTGATTTATACAATCTTTTTCCCCATTTGTACGGCCCTGTTTCTTTCCGCTCCTAGATAAACAAGGCGTGCAGAGAGATAACAGAGATGTGCGGAAATCGCTTCTCTGAACTATAATAATGTAGCCAAAACTCACCAGCAGTTGCCATTGTACTTTCAAGTAATGAAGTGTGTGATATCTTGGGTATTCAACTTCAACCTCCCCCCTTTTTATATGCAATGTTGT